ACGAACAGGAAACACGCCAAACGATAAAATTTAAAGAGCCATGTAAGTACCCTGCGGCTAAATCTGAGCCATGGTAAGGCAATGGTCGAAAGAGTAAAGACAATATATCGAAGCCTTACAAGTGGTATAATTTATGAATATCGCTTAACAAGAAATGCATAGCGTGATGTCCAATGTGATATGTATTTACACAGGCTTGGCAGCAAAACACGTAACATTGTGAAATTCTATAGCTGATCACACGATAATTGAAGTATTAGCTAAACGCCTAGAAACCGCGGTTCAAGTGCATGGGAAAAAAATCTATGGAATGCAAAGCATGCCTCAATGTACAGCAAGATAAGTGTATGAGACTCATGCAGTCCGTGTGTCTATACAAGCAATAGTATCATACCCACATTTTTCCCTATGGTCAACGGCATTCTCCCAAAAACCTAGATAAATATATAATCCCTTCTATGCTCAAAGTTCTCCGAAAAATTCTGCTACACTTTTGAGGTTGTCTGTTATGTTAAGATTTCGCCTGAGGTTGCTGCCCTGTGATATTAATCTCTAGAATATTCTCACAAAGAATTCGTTAGGCAACGTTGAAAGGACTTACTCCCGTCTAGGATTTCGCTTATACTATCCACCTATTAATCCCCGTTCTCCCGACATGAGAGTGGAGAGAGAACAGGACTTGTATCAACCTCGAAGCGATCAAAATAGGCAGGACAAATGTACTTCACAGTATCGATAGAATGTAAACAAATGTACCCACGTATTTAAAAAGCGTTGTTTCTCGCTCACGACATTGCAACAGTCGCGGCATTGAAAGGAATTCCTTAATCAAGGCAAGGCCAAAGCATTGTACACTTGAGATTCCAACGTAGTACGCTATTTATCAGTGCAACGCGAGGCTAACGTGTACATAAAGCGAATCGCATTAATTGCCGCTAGAACACTCGCGTGCAACCCTAACCATCCTGTCCATCCACTACAATAGTAATTGTGCATGAAGAAAACGCTTACCTCTCAATGATCTCAACTTGTGTGTTTAGTCACCAAATCCCATTCACGTTTCGTCTATATGTTATACGCTGTCAACATCTGTATTAAATAGATCATGTAAGCCGCCGGCCTATTGGGCTGCGTTCCACACGCATGCGCAGCGACTGGCTCAGAAGGCTTCGCATGTTTGGGATATCCAATCGTCAACTATAAATGAAGTCGTTTACTAAATAGCATCATTTAAACGGCCCATCATTTTATATATTGTGATTTCATCATCCTGAAAAATAAAAATACGACATTAGTATAATATCACCTGATTTTTTGAACAAAACCAATAGGAAAGATTTATGAATTGAAATATTGCGAAAACTAAAAAAGCCCGACTGAATATTGATTTCTTTTCCTTTATTGTCTTAGCGAACCAATATATCATGTCAACGTGAATAACTCTTCAATGCAGAATGCTCGCCTGCTTGGTTTTATAAAACTTTACAAAATTTTTATCTGCATGTAATATCACTGTGTGCTAGGCTTGCATCTTCTGTTCAGTAATCTCAAAATATCGAAAATGTATAAAGTTACAGTAAATAGTGATGACAAGAGACAACTCATCCCATGCATGCTGTAAACAATATATCATAACAATGACCCAGCTTTGAAGCTCTATTTGTATACCACATGCTATTATTTTTCTACTAAACTATGCAGAAAGTGGTCTCCACGCTTATCTCAAAACGGTTCTGCGCACAGTCCTTTTTTGATATCAATGATGTGTAAAATTCTTAAAATCTGTCAACCGGCTCCTGGAAAACACCCACCACTTCGGAAGTCCAGTTGAGAGGTCGGTCGAGAGGTACTAATTTTTTGCCGGAAAACATCACTTTTTGAGGCATGACGCATGCGCAGCTTATAAGTGCCAATCATAAACGGTAAGCACGACAACAATGCAATTAAGATCCCAATCATTGCAGATTTAATCTTCATTTTACATTGTCCTTTTATTGTGAAACCCCATTGTTCTCAACCCTACAATAACATAATCCCGGTTTTGTTTTAGGTACCTTTTTTCAATGATATGGATTCCTTAGATTGCTGTTGAGTGATTGGAAAGTTTAGCAGGATGTTCGTGTCGCGAACAGCCAGGGTGAGACTGAAAAATTAAATTGTGACATCACTCACAGTAGCTAAGGCCGAGGTTAAACATCGCATTTGGTCGCGTCGAATGCAATTCAAACAATGGATAATGAGATGATACTGAAACTTGATGAGGTTTATCATCCCATTATATATTGTTTGAATTTTGCATTCGACGCGACGAAAATGCGACGTTTAACTTAGCCCTAACAAATAAAAAGTAGGAAGCGATTCTACTTTTTCGCGACGAAATTTTTCACATCACCGGATTTCAGATATCGCTTCGCGTCGCGCGAATAAATTCGCCTGCTGGAAAACTGGCTTTAGTTACAGATACGGCAATAATACTAAGTGACGAACGAAATGTAAAAAAATTCTGGCACTTATTTTTTATTACACATTGCACGATAATTAAAGCTTTACTCCGTGAAATTGCGTTCTTACGACTCTTTTCACTAAATATAAGTGCAGCAAATGTGTTTGTAGTCTTCAAACCACACGAACGCATGTAATATTGAGAGCCATACCGGCATACGCTATTTTTTGACGTGTACATGTGTACGATTTATAGTGATTTTTAAAGTCACCGCATTATTGTTTTCTCTTCAGTTTATTTTTCTCTTATGATTTCTTTTTACTTTAAATATTTTTTCCTATTTAACTTCAAATGACTTTGATAATCTACTTTACTTGGAAGTAAAAGTGAATAAATCTCCACTCGCTTAAAATAGGTAAGTCTGGCCAATAATATATTTTTGCTCGCGAAAAGAATATTATAATGAACACAGATGTTCATGTTTAATTCAACGCTCCAACTATGTTACAAAAGTGCACTAAAGTCTAAAAAGGGAAAGATGCATGCATAGCCATATAGCCATAAAGCAAAGAGGATTGTTATAATGCGACGTCTGGAAGTTAAAAAACAAAGACTCTTGCATTCCCGGCAGGTCTACCAATCACTCAGTGAGGCTTAAATACAGCTCTTTGAAATTGAATTCGGGCAAAATTAGTCATCACTATATTAGTGAAACAGCTAGATCAAGAAGCAAGTTGTGACGGACGGCTAAAATGTAACGTGTTTTGGTTAGGTTTTTAAATCGTTCTGCTCGAATATAAAATTTCAGATTAAAATGGACTAAAGAATTTGGCAAGGTTTCAACTATTTTTTTCGCATTCCTTTCGCGTGAATTACGGAGATTTTAAAAAAGACAAAAGCTGCAACAATATGGTCTGGTGTTTTGAGTTAAAAAAATAAGTAAATGATGAAATATAAATATGAAATACATGAACAGTTCAATATAGCTCTGAAAAATTTTGCCAATACATTATTTAAGTCCCTGCATTTACACTAAGTGCAATTTTTGTTGTGGTACCGAAAATATGGTAGGGGTGAAATTCTAAACTGCCAAATAGTCAGCCAAATTTACCTGTACCAATTTTACACTATGTTCAATTTCAGTTTTGGTACACATAAAATCGGCAATTAAATAGATTTCAAATTCAAATTTCATCCATACCAAGTTCAGCTGAAGTCTGAACAATTTTATCTGTACTAAACCTTAAATTGTGCGTAGTATAAATGGGGCTTTAGTGTACCAGGCCACAGCTTGTATGCACAGCTAAAAAATCCATATGTCTCAAACAGAAGGGAGAACCTGGGCCATAGCAAGTGCAACAAACTAACTAAAAAAATCACATGCTTTGCACAATGAACATTCTGTGTGGTGTTTGTGTAAAACATTAAGTCCAGATTCTCAGTACAATTAAAAAAACTTAGGCCTTCAGGTCTTATTAGCATTACACAAACTTCCCAAAAAAGGTTACTACAGATGCTAAAAAAGTTGACTGGGCGTCCTAGACTATTTGGACACCCCTTTAGACCTGGAACCCTACCCCAATGCCTGCAGCTAATACACATTAAACTGGAAACCTGTCTCTTTGGATTAGTGGTTTGCAATGGAGCTGGAGTTCAGAAATTTTCCAAGCTGGGAATCATACAACTCCAGCAATACATACTAAATTAATTTACTGTATGATTCTTCTTTTATGCAAAGAATACTGTGAATCATGCATAGTTCCAAACAATTATGTGAGTGTTGAATGCAAGACAAAGATAATGTTTTTACATTAAAATATGTTCGAAGGGTAATTAAAATATAGCCAGATATTCCTCTAGAATAGCTAAAATATGGCTAGGAATACCTCTAAAATGTGGCCTGCAATTCCTTGGGGGTAGAATTTCTCAGTGGTAGCTAAAATAAGTCTGGAATTATTCAGGGGAAGTTAAAATATTCTCGGAATTCCCCAGCCATGGCGTATATTTCGAGAAACATGTGCGCTCGACCATGGGGTATGGAATGTCTGTTGGATGTGCCCTTCTCCCACAACAGCCTAATAATACGCCTGAATAAAATGGTTCCATAATTCCACTTCCATTCATCTGCTTTTCAAATTCTATGAGAACAGCAGATCTTATATCTAAATGGTTGGATTCCAGATTTGTTGTTTTTATTGTTTCACTTTCTCATTCTCTATTAAAATAATTATTATCTCAAATCTCAATAATATATTTACTTGCCTATTCCACTTGGTCTCTGAACCAGTCACACTATGCCGGTAAAAAATACAATCTGATGGAAAAGTCATTTCGTATGAAATATTCGTAATGCTAACAGGATGAAATAATGTACACAAAGAAATTCTGAGACTGTACATCGACAGCACACGTGTTCGAAAATCAAAATTCAATAAAAAAAATTAACGGAGATTTGCCGAATGCCGAACTGTATGACATTATACGTCGGTCAGTGGTCGGACAAATCTCGCTACGGATCACATACACGAATCCTCTCCGATAGATTCCGACAAGTTTGTTTACAATTACAAATGAAGTTCTTGTTGCTTGGTGGCGATTTAACATTTTTATTTTGTTGTTATGTTGTTACATTATACATATTGTATAATATTCTTCATACTTTCTATATAATTTAAACCGTAATTTTTACAATGGATATTGATTCGAATGGCTCAGATTCGCTGCGACAACAGTTCCAACTACTTCAAGAGCAACATAAAAAGAAACTATTGTTACGTAAACAGAAATTATCTACCCAAACAGAGGTCACAGCCGACCAAAAACCGGAATATATGAATAGCGTAAATGGTCACGGTTCGACAATTATTGAAGATGTAGATAATCTAGAACTTCAGGTACATCCACCTTAGGGTTATTTCTTGTGCGGTAGCTTCTCTGAGCATGACATGTAGTGCTTGATAAGTTGATATATGGCTTGCATCATTCATCGTGCAATCCGGTGTAAGTGACTGAGAGCGGTATATTTGATTCGTATGACAGATCACATCCATCAAGATACCCATCATTCTGATAGATCATTCATACAATCACACATACAGACAAAATATGTGGACAAACTTATTTGAATATTAACCCAGTGATCAGATCACTGTACATTTGCAGTCTTTTGTCATATTTTATACTTCCAGTATGGCATAATCATGAATTTGACGGCAAAGGCTATGTGAATCTATTAAAAATAAATATAATTGGATCACCTGCATTCCAACTTTCACTTCCTTCAATTACTATGTCTAATTACATGACCACTGCAGGCTTAGTAACCACCACATAAAAAGCCCGCCAGTGATTACTGATTAATAACCTTTGATGACCCTTCAAAAGATGAAGGCTTAAGGAGCATGTTTCAATATTCTATTCCCTTTTCTGTTAATGAAAATAGGTATGCCTCCCTATTCCTCTTCCCCACTATTGAGACATAATAGACATCAATAGTGTTGACAAGACTCATTTCATAATTTTTTTTACAATTTAATGATTTCATGTATAAAAAATTGACAAAGTAACAAAATAAGCAACAATACAGACCATACTGATCAAGAATATCTACTCTTTCTGACTGATCTTAAAAGTATGTGCATGAAATAACTTTCTTCACTTTTTTTTTGGTACAGTTGAACAGTAATCTGAGTGAAGACTTTTCAAGGACATCTGAGTATGATAATAAAATACGGGTAAGCCAGTATTAGTCTGGTATTTAATTGAATATTAAAGAGCAAACTGGTACTTAACTGATATTTGGAGTATGGAATAAATCACTCAATTCATTTGTCTTATAGGAATTAAAAGATGAAAATGGGAGATTGTATAAGTTGTTAGCTGAGCGTGATGAGGAGATGAGAATACTACGTAAACAAATTAATTCAGAAAGACAGGCAATTGCTGGCAAGTCTCAAAATATATATTATTCTTTTTGTAATTGAAGTGATCTAGTATTGTACATATTTTTGTCATTGCAATAACATGATGTCATTTCACTGTTTGTTGCATCAAATAAGTTGTATCAGTTTTTTGGTAAAAAATCCCTATCACATAATTAAGTTTAGCATTTGCTGAGTATTATGTTGTAAATAATTTACTATTAATGATTGGAAGCACTATCTAACAGTTATTTATGTGCATGCATGCAGTTCTAAATTTCCCCATATAGGTAATAATATCTAACATCTTAAAGAGGGTTATTTTTAGGCAGTGGTCCTGGATCTGATACTGCTGCCAATCGTATTATGGAATTATCGAGAAAGAACAGGGAATTAGCATCGGAAATTGAAAAAGAAAAGAGAAAAGCAAAACAACTTTCCAAAAAAATTACTGACATGGAAAGTCAAGTAGGTGGTTTCTCCTCATTAAAACACAAAAGCCAACCACAATAGCAAGTGTCCATTTGATGACTTTAAGACAGAGCAAAAATCCAATCTTTTTATGTAGAATTCTTCTATGGCAGCACAAGTAACCAAGCATGACACACAGAGAAGCAAGGATGTTACTGACGAGGTCAGAACTAGGGTGACAATGCATATTGGTGACAGGGATTGTGACCTGGCTAAACATAATGTGTTCTCAAAAGTTATGAGGCAACAAGGAGCATTAAACCATATTTATCTAATTCACTTAATATATCAGATCTTGTATTTCCATATTTTAATATAGGGAAAAAATAACTCTCAAGTGCTTGAAGAGAAATTAAAACAAGCCCTGGCAAAAGTAGCTGAATATCGTAACCAGTGTGAGATTTTAAAGAAGGAAGCAAGGATTGCCCAAAAGGTAAATACCTATATAACATGATCTGAGGTAAATTAAAGTATGAAATCTTGAAGTACATAGGGATTGACTCTGTTGACTGGCCCTCAACAACCTAAGCAGCCGTTACCTTCAAAGATGACTGAAGAGGAAAGTAACCTTTGCCAGTATATAAGATTCACAAACCACCACTCATGAACCAGACATCTATATTGGCAAACCTAATTTTCTCAATATGACTCGATCAGTTTCTAACAAAAACAGTCTTTTTTACACAAAAAGACTACACACACCAAAGGATCAATTTCCATAAACACATCTACCAGTCAGAATATTAACACAACAAAGCAGGAATAAACAATACTGATAATGGCTGCATCAGTGCAGTACATGGGATACAGATAGAACTGATATTGTATTCTCTATATAAAGGTTATAGCAAAAGAATGTGGTGAAGGAATGAATGTGACAGCTGTACTAAATGAGCCAAGTGGCTGGCGTGGCAGACAACAGCAAATAACTACCTTGCAAAATAAGGTATGTTTATTGTCATAATACTAGCTTATATTTCCTTGCATAGTTATACCATATGAAGTGAATGGGAAAACAAACATACCTATGGCAATTTCAAAATTATTTTGCAGAAAAACTCTTCCTCCCCAACACAAACATCAACCATCACTGCAGGTTGCATGGACCCAGATATTGCTGAAGTATAACTAATCTATTTAGGTGAATGAACTGAAGGCCCAGCTAAATGATGTGATGCATTCAAAACAAGCCCTATCAACGAATGGTTTACCAAATCAAAATTATAATGTGCAACGAGTTATGACGCCATCATTTCATGACGAAAAACATAAACAGATGCTGAAAAAGATGGAGAAAAGCAAGAAAGAAGAATACGAGGTTGATACAATTTAGCAAAAACACCTAACCTGCATAACTGCATTGTTTAAAAACCAAAACTGTTGTGCCCTTACTCCTGTCATTACATAATATGATGACAATGTAATTACATAATATGGTGACAATTGCAATCAGGTCTCTAGAGTAACGTTTAAGTCCAGCTTTTCTGTATTAATATTTACTGGTACATTTTATCAACATTTCTTATAGAAAACCAGCGGTGAACTACACCTGCTGAATGAAGAACATCAAAAACTGCAAACAAAATTCGACGCTGCAAAAACACGCAATAAAATATTGACCGGAGAACTGAAGAGTTTGAAAGAAAAAACTAAAATGTTAGCAGAGAAAGGGGCGCACGACGATGAACTGATTTCTGCTTTAATGGTAAATCTTTTTGAGATTCAAATTGTCGGATATTAGTTGTTGGATGTTGTCATCCAACTTTGTGTGTTTCCAACTTTTTATCGTCTAAGATTACTAGATCAGAAATGTTGGACGATGTGTTAAAGCGTATAAAATCGATACCCTAAAGAACCGATGTGATATAAATTTTAGAGAGAACAAGAGAGACTGAAGAAAACAGTAGAAAAGAAAAATTCTCAGATCGCTGAGCGCAGTCAATCTAGACACGAGAAAGTACAACAAGATACTGAACTTGTGGCAACCCTGACTCAACTGTGTAAAGAAAGAGAGGAAAAGGTTGCTCAACTTGAACGCGAACTTAATTCCTTGGCAATGAACCTTGCCGAAGCGCCAGCGAGGAGGAACATTGGATCAGCGGACAAAGCTACCATCACAGATGAGGTACCTGTTGAGAGAATATCAAGTTCTTTTAATGACCATCAACAAAATACGAGTGAAACGATGGTATCTAAACCAAAAGAGGTGGATGGACAATCGCGAGGAAGACGTATTGTACGATCCACTAGTAAGAATACCAATACTCTGCCACCAACCCCGCCAAAGTCTGGTAGCGGAAAAAGAAGATCAAGTGGCCTGAGAAGGTATTGTCAAGGGTACAAATAAATACCTTTCATTTTTCGCACCTGGAATATCCATGTTTACTAATCATTTCTTTACAGTGATAGTCGATGCAACAGCGTTAATACACAGTTTGATGAATATCAAACACTTTACGAAACCACAAAGATTGAACGTGACAAATTAGCTGAACTTGTTGCAGTTTTTCAAAACAGGTATTTTCATGAACTTATAAGAAATGTTTGAGGTTTATTACATTGATCCAGCTCAAACGTAGAGCCAAAGCCAAATGGAGCTAAGAGCGATTAGCAGTTGAGTCATTGTCAAGATGGTCATTGTCAATTCAGTTGTATTGACTTTGACTCTGGTGCCCTTGTATGCAGCTATAAGGCATATTCACGTTCGTAATTCTCAGATATATGGTATTATTCTATATTGCGGTTTATGCAATATTATTATAGCCTTATAGGTTACAAATAATAAAATTTCTCTCTTCTGTGTCTCATCACAGGGAAAAAGAGGTCTATGACTCTACGTGTAAAATGTCTAGTGATGTAAAAAGTTTGCAGAGACAAAATGTGGAACTTGAGAAAAAGCTAGCTCGACTTCACGCACAGCGTTCGGCTCAAGATAAGAATGGTAAGAAACATCATCGTTCAAGGACTGGTACTAGTGATGAAAGACCAACTGAACCATACTACGTTGAAGAACTTGAAACTCAGTAAGTTCAAAGATGGTTTTCTTATGAAACATAGAATTTCTCCAAGGAAACCAATAGCTAACAAAAATATTTCTTTTGCGTTTTTCTATTGCCAAAAAGATGAGAACGATGCGTTGAAGGAAGCTTTAGAATCAACATTAGAAGGAAAGAAAGAGGACTTTCAATATTATCAAAATATCGTTGAACAGACAAAGAGAATTTTCTTGCAAGGATTACATCAGTATAGACAGACATCTTCAACAACGTCAAGTGCTAATACGCTAAGGACTTAATTACACGGAGATTCAGATCCTAAGAAATGTTCAAATTAAATCACGATTAAACATATTATTATTACCTGTGATAAAACCTAGATTTAAGACAAAGTCAAGACCAAACAACACGTAACTCTCATTCCAGTCGTTCAACGACACAGCCTCGTACCCAGGCACTAACGATTACTAAAAATAGTCACAGTACAGGCTTTTACATAGATCAGCGGCCAAGCTTAGTGATCGTGCAGAGGTGCTTTCGTTCAGCTTATAACCACTTATCTATGTAAAATCCTATCCTAATCCTAGTGGCTATCAGTGAACATGTGTTACTGCTCGAAGCACGTTTTCATTCTGGGCAATTCGATTTGTACAATAAATTGCTCGCCCTTTGTCAAAAACATATTTTTGTCTTCTTTCCAGGGGTCGGCCATGCCAGTTATCATGACTAATTCATGGGCTCTGTTCCAGCAATTCTATAATTCTCACAATTCTAGATATATTGCTTAAAAAACGTACGAGTGAGACTTTGCCTGACTATACATGGCCTAACTCCTAGTATGTTCATTGTTTCTCTGTTTCCGCTGCCCTACCGTTCCGCACTCACTTCTGGTTCATGCATGGCGACACTTACAGTAATCAAATTTTATACACTGATAAAAATTGTTAAATTGATCATACGAATATTGTTTCATCTTTCCTCTTCTTCATCACGACCTGGCCAGGCTTGTGTTGAGCATCAGGATGATTTTCAAGTTCCTTAGGACACGAACTCACCTATAAATGTTTGTATGTACATGTAGCAACTTTAAGTGTTCAACGATCATTCCGCTAGCAGTATGCGCGTGCACATATTCATGCCGAAATTACCGTTGCGACAACACACAGTAAAAATATGATTATACGATATTCATAGTTCGAGTTAAAGACTGGAACTTCAACGTGTATGGATTGTAAAATTTTCTTGGTTGTGTACAAACAAACATACCGCACAACCAGACGATTGGGACATGTTTTAGTTAAACATTCAAGCTTTTATTGTTACTACCAACAATCACACATGAAAAGAAAGTCTATTCAGTGGACAAAAGTGCAGTCAGACAAATGAGCACTCGGTGCTGTAGTGCTCTTGGTGTTTTATTGTCCGATAACACGCGAGAAATATACAGTGTAGATCGATACTTACAGGACTATCAACAAGAAGTTGTTTTAGATCGTAGAAAATGCCAGAATCCTCTTGAGTAAGGAAGCTTATAGCTGTACCACTCTTGCCCGCACGACCTGTACGCCCGATACGATGAGTGTAATCTAAGGAGGAAAATATATTGGGTAACAAATCCACAAAATGAGCTAACATGATGAATCTATAGGATCAGTTTGTAAACACCAGAGTGCACAACTTTACCTTCGATAGTTTTAGCCATGTCGTAGTTAAGAACCAATGACACATCTCTAAACAAAAAAGGCGCAAAATCGGTACAGGCAAATTGACAACAGTTATCAAATTTTAGTCAAACTCAGCCGTGTGACAGTGCTATCTACACAACAACTTACCTAACATCGATACCTCGACCTGCAACATCTGTCGCCACTAATATATCTTTACTGCCATTCTTTAAACTCGCTAGAGCAAACTCTCTGAAAGGGATTTCAGAGTAAACAATATGCTCATTTGGTTATACATACTATAAACTGTAAAGTAAAATATTGTCATATGCCCACTTAAACCGACGTATATATGATTATTTAACTGCTATATCAGACGATGATTCTAAATCTTCTAAAGCTAGATGAAACCTCCTAGAAATATTCTTCCAATTTAAGGTATAGCCAATCATTTTACCTCGATTCTTGGTTTTTTCCACCATGAAGAGTAACTGCTCTGTACTATACATAGAATAGAAATACATGAATAATAAGATAAAATTTGCAGATATGCATAGTACTAGTACTTTTTATATCAGCATTAAAAAAGGGGTTCCAAGTGGGGAATTATTCAACTGAAACACAGATCTATAGCTCCGTTGGCGGGTTTCCCATCACTTCCGGCCGAAACCAAGAGAGACCTAAAGAAGATAATGTTTACCCCCATTTTCTCCAGTGATTTCGCAAGGACATCAGCTCCCTGAAAAATATAGAAAGGTACTGTTCTCATTCCAATAAAGATTTACGTGATTCGTTATAATTCGTGATTCGTTTTATTTAAAATGCTTTACCTTCTTCTGATTGACGAACACCATAATAGGAGGCTGCATATCACCCCTGCTGAGAATTTCTAGAAGCTTTTTCCTATTTCGCGAGAAAAAGGAATATTGTTTTAAGTTGAGAAAATCAGGAATTTTTCATACCCCATTATTTCACATCATTCCAGCACTCCAGCTTATTATACAGCGTCCTTAATGTTTTCAGCATGCACTTCAATGATGAGGAAAGCACGAAATATACCCAACATATAGGACAATACCTCTTTTGTGGTTCTGTCATCATATGCACGATCTGTACCACCCGCTCCGTTGGTTTACCTGGAGATATTGAAAAAAAGACACAATGCAAAAAAAAACCATAAACGAAGGAATCGCTATATATGGAACAGATGGACGGACGTAGGCCCTGAACGAAGTTCATTCTTCTCCGACATAAATCTCCTTATCAATGAACAATAAGTAAGAAACATTTGACCAAATACATACCAAATGAACCGATGTACACAACTGCTGCACGCCTGAAACCAATAATTGAAATAGAAAAATTTACTTGAGTTACATGATCGACATCATTCCCGACACAGACATGGAATGAACTCCAATGGGGGGTTACAATCTAGCGGGTTGAAAGGTTCGGGTTTATGTGGATTCACCGCAAGTTTCTTAGATTGTGATGGGTACATATTCTTTCTTTTGCAGTTTGAATCTTCCAGGAAGACTACAATTGATTAGCAATACATAATATAGACCTCAGTCAATACGTTGCTGTGAGGTTTATTATCTTTCCAAATAATTATTGCACAAAAGTGTCGAACCTCAGGTAAGTTTTCGCCAGCCGCTCAACAGAAGGCGGCATCGTTGCTGTAAACATGACCGTCTAAAACGAAATGAAGCAGACATTTGACAGTCAAATCCATCAGATCCAAATACTACGATACTATTCAAATCGTCCCGAGGAAAGGTTGTATATACGCTACTGAGGCCAAATATATATGCTGTTCTCTCACCTGACGATAGCGATCTTTGGAAGCAACTCTTTCCAGCAGTTTAGCAGGATCTTCAGCATCATCTGTATCAGGTTTGATGTTGGTAACAGGAATATGTTCTAATATTGTCTGCACGTCTGGTTCAAAACCCATGTCAATCATACGATCAGCCTGTCGGGAAAATCAGAAAATACACATGCATGTTTTTGAACCTTAAGAAAGTTAACGTTTGGTATTTTTGTGCACAGTAAGAAAATGATATTTTTCTGCATCATTAACCGAGGTTATCAAATAGGAACATATATTTTCATAAATTATTTGTTAGAATAAACGGAAGAGAAGCAGACGAATGATGATCGACAAAAAATGGAAGCAATTTCTAGATTGATTCTCATTCACCGCGAACGTTCCATGAGGTGAAAAATATTTCCCAAAACCAAAAAAAACTGTTTCCAATTCCCATGAAACACCAATGGACATCGCAGATGCATTAAATAATGCAAATCTCAATGATTCTTCAAAAGCATTTGCTAAACAACATTGATAGCACTGCCACTGACGAGCTTATTACAATGAAATCAATATGATCGACCAGAATACCTCGTCCAACACAATGTATGAACAACGTGATAAAACAAGATAGCGATTTTCTAATAAAAGAAAAACAGAACCATTCAGACCATAGGTCTGACGCTAGGAGTGCCCATTACATTAAAACAGGAAGGAATTGGAATTGCATATTTTTACATTTTCTATTGGTTTCTCTCCGTGAGAAAAACAAGTCACGAACAAAACACTGTAGAAAGTTTGTATCAAGCAGGCTTCCTTTTTCATATATAATATTTGGGATTTATAATATTTAGATATATGTTTGGAAGACCATTCTTCCATTACGGAAGATTGTAATATGACATTTGTAATTTTTACCTAAAACGTCAATAAGACGACCAGGTGTGGCGATAACAATCTATTGAAGAATAAATACAAAGTAATGGAAAATATCAGTGGAATTTTTGAACATAAAGTAAACAGAATCTAGGCAGCAAAACTTACTTCAACTCCAAGCCTGAGTTGGAAGCCTTGATCCTCCCTCGATAACTAGAAACAATATTTGTGTGATTAGACGTACTTAATATAACAAGAAGTTACTGTATTCTTATTTATTCTATTCAATCCCAAAACACAGATCTACCAACACTGGCTCAAAAAATCATGCATGAAGTACTTACACCACCAATTACAGACACAGTCCTAACACCAAGTGGTTTGGCAAATTTTAAAGTCTCCTCCTCAATCTTAAGAAAAACAAATGAACTTAGTATTATATATGTACTGTTTATCTCTGATATTTTACGGCAATACGACCAGACCTGCTGCGCAAGTTCTCTGGTTGGAGCCATGATGAGTGCGTATGGTCCTTGATCAATGTCTTGTTCTCTGGAAGTGAATTAGATAGAAGTCGTACAAAGTCGTAATCTCAAATTGCTTAATAATGGCAATGCAATGCAAGCCAGGGCAGGGCGGAAAATCAAACTCTAAAGTTATTAATTGAATGCGTTCTTTCTGTTCACCTGACAATTTTTGGTAAACCCATGATCCATACAAGAAGCGGCAAAACAAATGCCGCCGTCTTTCCACTACCTACGCACAAAGTGATAAGACAAAGGTGACGTTAATCACAAAAATATAAAGCATACACAAGAAATAAAGCAAAAAGAGACCAGTAATCACAGTAATACAGTATTTGGAATAAACCATTGATTAACTTAGCAACAACACTGCCGTATTAACGAAATAGTGGAGGGCGGAGTTTCACACCATTTAGATTCGTTACAATATAACGACTTCTTTACCGGTTTCAGCAACGCCAATAATGTCGCGACATTGTAATCCAATTGGAATGGCTTGTCTCTGAATAGGTGTTGGATCCTAAATAATGGATTATAAGCCTTTTTAACTACTGAACTATACAACAATAAACATGCAATGTTACGCTAGGGAAAAAATATCTAAGAGGTGATTGCTGTGGGTATAGTTGTAAAAATATGGAAGCTTTAAGGCGATGGGGAAAAATGTACCGATCGAGCTCACCTCACTTAAAGTGAAAGATCGGGCCATTCTTTAAACACTGAGACTAGACTAACAGACACTGTATTTTCTTACCTTATAACCAAGTTTGTCAATTGTTTCTAAGAGCTCAGGGGGAAGATTCGACTCTTGCCAGTTTCGTATCGGATTTGGAATCCGACCACCTGCAAAAAATTGACACTTATATGAAGAAGAACTACAAGGTGTTTGAAGGCACGAAGTTTTAATGGTTTTCATTTAAGTAAAGGCAATGATTGTATAAATGCATTATCCAGTTTTCGTGTCGTTATAGTGCTTTTCTATTACTCGTAATAGTTTCTTTACTTTCTTACGGATTTCTCACCCAAAATCAAGGAAGGAGAGGACATGACCTGCCTTTCCTATCAACCATGCATTTGGAAAAATGTCAAACAGAATTTTCCTCCAATTTTAACAGAACCATAACAAACACTCTCCAAAGCGAAATAAAGTAAAAGAAGTTATCAAGATTACCTTTACACGAAATACCAAAATCTTCTTTAAATATTCTCCAATCTCTCTCAGTCATCTCATCAAGATCCTTGTGGGTCCAATGACGATCATCAAACGCTTGCTTCTTTTCTTTGTCACGTATTCTGTTAACACGTGTACTACACGTGGGGGAAAAATGAACGGTTGTGTCAGAGTATAAGATACTTGTTTCACGAACACACTCGAAAAATCCTATAGATGTATTTTTGTAGAAAACCATAAACGCGTCTCTGATAATTACAAATTTTTAAAACTTTAAAAAAATTTTCTTCCCCTATACCGCGTAAGGTAATACTTTGGCCGTTTGGGAATCATATTTATACCTCCCTAACCAGAGTACGCCCTTGAAGGAAAAATTCAGCCATACTACATTGATACACGAGATAGCAGAGTTTATGGCCAGTAGTAGGGAAACATTGTTGGTTAAGTGGGGTAGATTGTCTCTAGGACCCTAGAATATGGTCTTACACTTCTTGGTCTTTCTCAGCCTGCGTTCTTCTATCTTCCAGAAGCTCCGAGTAGAAACGACTTGTTTTCTTTTGACTCTAAAGAACAAAGGAATAATCAGTTAAGTTTTCAATAGACAGTTACCACATAATATGACAAAGCGAGGCTGATTAAAATAATCTGGACAAAAAACAAAATCAACAGCATCTACAATGACATTTCATGCAGTTAAAAATCATATATTCTGCGTCACTTATTGAATGTTATATAGAAATTCTCTAAAAACCCAAGCAGACGTCGTCGAGCATTGGAAGTCGTCCAGCATCGAAAGCAAGCGTCCGTTCATTTCTACCCAATGCGATGTATACATACATGTACATTGGGTTCGATATAATCTGTATGTCACAGTTTAGCGAGAACGTTAACTCTAACCTTTATATCAATTCCACCGATGTGACCTCGTCCAAATAGTTGAATAGCGTGCTTGTCTTTGTAACTACAAAAACAAATCGCTGGGTCACTCAAAAGATAGCAAAATAACTGAAATCATGATAGATTAGTTGCTACTAATACATGTAAAATAAGTACGTGCAAAGCAGATAATATAAATAAAGTGATAAAAAAGGTTTAAAGGTTTGCGGTTCCTGGGAAGAAAATATTGTATATATAACCGAGAATGACAAACATTTTGACGTTTTCACAAAAGGCAGTTCATGTCATATAGCTAGTATACACGAACATATACCTATATATATAAGATAGTGTGCACTTCTTTCAATTTTAAACTTACATTGGATTGTAATCTATGGATGTATCTTCGTTCACATCCCAGTCGAACACAAACTTTTTGTCAGTCAATCTTCGTACTTTGCGTTTCTTTTTTGTTATTCCCAAGTACCTCGCCTAATCAAGTATTAGAACTAAGATTATGCAAAAAAGGTTTGAAAATACTAATTCAAATGCAAACTACATCAACCAGAGGTAAATAACTCTCGCTGAACACGATATCTTATCCCGTTGACCGATCTCAATCAGCATGGTAAGAGCCGGTGAGCACTGTGATGCGTGTGCATCATCAAATATATTAAGCTTATCAAATACCATCTTTAAAAGCGTTTAGCAAGAGCATTCATCTAATAATCTTTCTTGAACCAGGTTTTATAGTACCTTTATGGCTTCTTTCTCCATCGTAGAATCTGGATTCTTGCTCTACACCAAATACAAAAAACTCAGCATCGGAATTTACTGCATGTGTACAAACTTAAATAAATTAATATCAATTAGTTAGCATTTGAATTATTACGACTAAGATTCTTGGATATGATGAAAGTAAAGATTGTCCTTGTTGACTTAGACGGGAGACAATTAAGTTGTTGCGTTAATTCTGATAGTTTTTTAATGCCAACCGTATAGTTTCTAAAACACGTGTCATCACTACTGTATACTATTATTTACTCTTAAAGCAAGGATAAAAAGAATTAAGTTAGTGTTAGAAGACTTCATCTCACTTTATCATCATCTTCTGGTTTTCGATTTCTTCGGTCACGTCTTTCTCTGTCATATCCTGGATATTGAACAACATGTCAAATGTTACTAAAACTTCGCCGTTAAAAATATATGAAAGGCAACTTTACCGATTCATTTTCTCAAATACATACATTGTGAAAATACTTACATACTGTTACAGTTCAGCATGTTTTAAAAGTAAGCAAGCCTTATGGTATGGGTGTTCTGTTCTGTTAAGTCAATCATTTTGGATTGCAATTAAAATGACATTGCCTCCCAAAGGTCAAACAAGGATGGTTTGTACCATCCACTGCCACTGATTTCGACCAAAAACGTTTTTCTTGCATACAGTATTAGCTCATCTCTCCTTAAATATTTCAACACACTGGTTAACCAACACACCTCTAGTGGCATCTGCTTCCTTTTGAAACTGCTCCCTTGTCTTACGTTCTTCCTAAGTTTGAAAATTAGAATGTAAGTACACACAATTACAGGGTGACACTCACATAAAACTCTAAACAATTAATTTTAACATTGTGCTTCGGTCAACCTACAATTCATGGAAATATTGGTGACCCTCATCTACCCCATACACTATCTACACTGTGTGTGACCATGCACTGCACCTCTAGTTTCTTGCGCTTCTCAGCAACCTCTTCTTGCCGTTTTCGTAATGCTTCAGCAGCTCTTTCTTCTTTGGTCAGAAATTTTGGCTGAAACAAGCAGGAAAATTAAACCCACTTTCTTAAATCAACATCATAAAAAACCAAGGTTACCTAGGGTACCATTAAATCTACTGTATTCAGGTTTAAAAGATCTAGATGTTATGGTTCTCTCTCAACCAATGTATCACTGTTCTATTTTATTAAATATTGGTACTGTAAAATCCAACTAATATGCATTGTGGTGTCAGTGGTGTCAGTGTTATAGTGTTGAAACAAATGATTGTATGTACATATTAGGCATAAGAAATGAAGAGTGATCACTTTTTTCACTATGGTGTATACACTATTAGTATTATCATAACCCATTTTATCATGTTACTTTATGTTTAATGTTTAATGACTTTCTCAAACACAGATGAGACAAAAGACATGGGTTTTTTCACTTTTTGACGCCCGCAACGTGAAAAATTGAAAATCTATTCACTTGCATTCAGTTATTTTACCATTTTCTTGGCAGAAACAGAAAAAGGCTTATTGCCAATTATTTGCTGATTATCAGGCAATAATCGGCCGATTACCAATTATTTTTAAAAAGGCCGATTAATCGGCTTTGCCATTATTTACCGATTAATCGGCTCATCCTTACATGTTAGCATGACAAATCTAATTTCTATTCAAAAACCTTTTCTTGAGCTTTTTTCTCAGCTTCACGTCTTGCAATCATTTCTTCCAAAGATAAAGGTTGTTTCTTGGGAGCATTTTTTTCAGTTCCAGTCTTTTCCTCTTCTTGCAGTTCACTAAAACATATAACTTGTGTGTGAACAAATAAAATTGATGGGACAATGTTTCAAATAATCTGGACAATATTTCTATTACTTTGGTTTTTCTTCAGCTTTGGTTTTACTTGGAGAATCTGCCCTGTAAAAATTGAAAAAAAACACTGGTAAATCAGCCAAATATGTGTGCAAGGATTTATCACCTAAAACATTATATCCCAATAAAGTGTTGGTTCATACTTCATATAAGCTATACTGAATACTGTTAAAAATACATACTTTACTCTCTTCTCTTTTGATTTACCAGGCGACCGTGATCTATGAGGAAAATATATGCAGAAATGCCCATCTGTACCTTACAAATAGTCTGTAATAGGATTATTTTTTCAACAAGGAATCCTCTCAAGAGAATTAACTTTCTAGAGTTTCTATTCATTTGACCTCTAATCAGAGTTGCACGTTAGAGTAGCATAGGGCTATTTCTAGTCAACTTTCATCAGACCTTGTGCAACTCTTATTTTTGTTTAACAGCTTTGCTGGCCTTCAAGAGTCTAAAATAGGTATTGGAATCTAAAAAAATCCCATGCCAACTCTCCTTGTCTAGCCCAGCAGCTTAGCTAATGCTTATTTTGTGATACCTTGAACGCTTCCTTGAAGATCTATCACGATCTCTTCTTCTTTCCCCGTCTTTATCTCTGACTTTATCTCTATCTTTGTCCTTGTGTCGGTCTTTTCGTCGACTCTTGTGTTCTCTGTCCCTTTTTTTATCTTTATGACTACCCTTTTCCCGACCTCTCTTGCTCTTGTCGCGATCTCTGTGTCGGTCAGTCTCTTTATCCCGACTGTGTCTATCATCATCTCGCTTTACATCATCTCGTGATTCTTGTCTAGTACTTCCACTAGTATCATCTAGTCTAGCATCTGTGTTTCCACTGATTACAGACACAATAGAGCTTGGGAGTGTTTTGATCTCTTCCATTTTGTGTAGCTTTGACCGCTTGTTGTACAGTATGAATGTTTATTTCAACTTCATGGGATAAATTTTGAGTATCACAATTCTTTTACTACACGTTTTCGGCAGCCATGTTGCTGGCAACTGAGCCAGCAAGTGGTAACTGCGGTATTTAAACGCACGAAACTTCATGCAAAAAAGCCTGATGTTGCACACGAGTTGCACGAAGTTTGACTGGCACGTTCCATAGATTCTATGTTCTAACCGATCTATGTTCGAATCAAACATCAAAATTCACGTTAAATAACACAGCTTCTTTAGTTTCACGAACCGGTAAACTAAATGAGTACGCCGGCTTGTGTAAACAGCCACAAAGAAGGCCAACATTTCAAAAGGGAGTACTTTTTGGGCCCTGCCTGTAACATGTGCATGCTAAGGCATCTTCAGACTAACGCTATCTCTGGTATTCAAACTCTATTTTTTAATCTATCAGTCATATTTTTTTCACTTTAAACTGGTATATGGCTGCTTTTAAAGCATTATGTTAGACCTCAAATATAATTCGTTGATGAATTATATATACTATTGCCCAATTTCAGTATACAGTTTCTTGTCTTTTTGGCAATTTTGCTTTCAGAAACTATTATACGCTATCCTTCATTTGAGCGCATCTAAGTTATTATTGCATGAAAATCAAACATCAAAACTCACGTTAAACAATACTCGGTTAAAAACGTTTATAACATAGCTTGTTTAGTCTTACTATGAGTTGATTAAATGAGCACGTCGGCTTGTGTAAACAGCCACATCGATTGCAGTTCCTGTACTATCGGTATAGCTAATATAGCGTGCAGGTGGACAACACTTTTGACGTACATAGTAATATATTTTTCTGCAATGCCAATAGTATAAATAATTAACTACGAAGCATTTAGAAGTCTTAAATACCTGTTAAGGCCGAATGTTTTTCTGCTGAAAAAGTCAGTGTAGTTTAGTGTAGAAACGTTCTCCATATGGAGGTTATTGTTATCAACCAGATATTTCTATTTGTTGTAAATATAATCTTCTTCTTCTCAGGAATATGTTTAAACACTTTGGTCATAGTCAGTTTCTGGAGATCAACTCAACTTAGAAAGAAATTATGTTATTTCATGATAATGGTTTTGTCTTGCTGCGATATTTTTGCTGTTCTAACAAATGAACCATTTTTGGCTATTTTTGCGGTGTTATGGTTGGCTGGAAAGCTAGATGGATATCCCAGATGGGTGTCTACGACTGCGAGATTAACGACTATTCCTCTCGCCTTTTCTATACTTGCTCTGTTGGTGATGAATTTCGAAAGGTATTTGGCAATGTATTACCCTATTTTTCATAGAACATCGGTAACAAAGGCAAGACTTTTGACTCTTCTTGGTGTATCAATTGCTATCATGATCATTTTGTTTCTGCTATGTATAAATGACACAATAATTACTATGCCTGTTGCAGTTCTAATTTCTTTTGCTATATTTACTCCGCCAATGTTATTCATGAACTATAAACTGTTCGTAATCTCCGGAAAAAGTCGCAGAAACAGAACATCGCCCGAGATGAAGAGAAAGTATTCTTCGAAGAATATATCGAGTTGCTTGTTGGCAGTCGCTTGTTTTGTGATACTGTCAATTCCAACCTTCATTTACATAGGCCTAACTATAAACTCTGTTCAAACGACATTATATACATTGGATACTGTTGAAGTTACTGCGCTCTGGGGTAAAACGATAGCCTCGATAAATGGTACATTTAACTGCTTGATATTTTTCTGGAAAAACAAGATTTTACGCACAGAAGGAACGAAATTTATTAAAGGCCTAATTCTATAGGCATATAAATTGTGTGCCGAAACTAAACGGAAGTTTTTTTAACAATGTCAAAGCAGCGCTACGTTTGAGTCATTTATTAAGTTCCACGATTTAATTTTAATGGAGTTGATCGATGATCAACGATCGCAGCGACATTAAGTAGAAAAAATAGTACGCGCGTGCTGATTGGTCGAGAAGCGTGTTTCTATAACGTTAACTGTATAGAAACACGGGAATTTTCCCGCCGAACTTGACAAGCGAAGCGATGTAATGAGAATTTATAATTGAATCGAATCATAATATTTGTACAAAATCTTTTCATTGAGTTATATTATAAAAGAAATAGAAAACATTTTTCCCTGTGTTTCTATACAGTTATAGAAAAACTTGTGGGAGTTTGGGAGAACTCGAAATAACGTGGAAAAACTCGCCCTACGGGCTCGTTTTTTTAATCCCACTGATTACTTCTTCTTCTCCCAAACTCCCACGCGTGTTTCTATTTAACAATTAGACGAGTCCAAGTTGTCTATGAGCGAATAGTCAACGAAGGCGAAGCCTGAGTTGACTATTCACTCATAGACAACGAAAACGAGTTGTCTAATTGTTATAGTATACACCTTGTGCCTAGATATATTAATTTCGAGAAAATAATCGATACACCGCAATTACGCCGAAAAAAATTTATTAATTCTTTTATCGTCGCGCGAGCGAATTTTTCCCAAACGTTCACCATCACGAATAAACAATGGTTGAGTAGCCAATCAGAATGCAGGATTTGTAACAGACAATAGTCGGGTGTATACTAAAACTGTGTAGAAACACGGAAAATGTTTTCTATTTCTTAAATGGATAGCTACTATAAACAAGAATTTAAAACTGATTACGTTAATTGGTGCCGCTACCTGCTAATTTAGACGGATGTCAAAAGTGTAAATTTTCTTGATGTGTTCAGTTCTCATGATGGAGTTACATATTTTTCAGCCTGGTCTCTTAGTGTTGCGAATCACTCTTTTTTTTTCAGGAATATGCCTAAATACCTTGGTCATAATCAGTTTCTGCAGATCAAATCAACTTAGAAAGAAATTGTGTTATTTTATGATAATGGTTTTGTCTTGCTGCGATATTCTTGCTGTTTCAACAAATCAACCATTTTTGGCTATTATTGCGACGTTATGGTTGGCTGAAAAGATAGATGGGTATCCAACATGGGTGGATATTTTTCTAAGGTTGACGAATATATCTCTTGCTTTTTCTATACTCGTTCTATTGGTGATGAACCTTGAAAGATACTTGGCAGCATATTACCCTATTTTTCATCGAACATCGGTAACAAAGGCCAGACTTTTGACTCTTCTTGCATTTCTAATTGCTATCGAGATTATTTTGATCCTTTTATCTGTAGAAAATATAGTAATTTCCATGGCAGTTGCTCTGGTAATATTTTTTGCTTTGTTTACTCCGCCAATGTTGTTCATGAATTACAAACTGTTCCGAATCTCCAGACAAAGTCGCAGAAACAGAACATCACCCGAAACTGGAATGAGAAAAAATTATTCTTTCAAAAATATATCGAGTTGTTTGCTGGCAGTTGCTTGTTTCGCCATATTGTCTATTCCATTAACCGTTTACATTGCGCTAGCCATAAACTCACCCGAATTAACAACATCTACTTTGGATATCCCTAATACAGAAATTACTGCTGCGCTCTGGGCTAAAACGATAGCCTCAATGAATAGTACATTTAACTGCTTAATATTTTACTGGAAAAACAAGATATTACGCACAGAGGGAATGAAAATTATGAAAGGCCGAAATTTTTAGTTATACATAACTTGTTGGTCGGACCTGAATGGTTGTTGCAAAACAATGTAAGCGCGGACGTTTAATGAATTCTACGATTTAATTGTAACGAAGTTGAACGACGACATCGATATAAGGACAAAGGAATTTGATTGAGAAAATGGAATTAAAGAATAAATATTGAAACTGGATACAAAGATGGTAACTCTTGTCTTAACAATTTGATGCAACGTTTTTATTTCCTGTCTGCTCTGCGTGTGCCTGTCACTGAGGTGCCTGTCGATTCGTCCTAATTTTGTTTCCGAAATTCGTCGTAATATATTCAGAGGAACAATGGTTATGGATCAATACCAATGGATACCACATGCTACGAAAATACTAGGAGGCATATTTAAACCAGATTTTACTGACATAAGGCGTGACGACGCAAAAATTAATGTCAACTTAATTCATAACTATCAGTTTCAGCTGGTATATTCCATGCATCTATTCATTGCTATGTAGAGAATTGATCAATGCCAAAGAAATAATGAAAGAAAGTAGAAAGGCCAGTCAGCGGTGCGAAGTGTGCTCATTTCCTTATGTAGAATAGTTGAAGACCCAAAGCCTCTTTGCGCGTGTAAAATACAATTTTCAAAGATTTTAAAGAAAGACCAACATTTCAAAAGGGAGTACTTTTTGGCCCTGTCAGCTAAGGCAACTTCAGACTAACGCTAGCTCTGGTATTCAAACCCTATTTTTTAGTCTATCAGTTAAATTTTTTACACTTTAAGCTGTTATATAATGGCTCTTCTTAAAGTATTATGTTAGGTCTCAAATATAATTGATTGATGAATTATTTTTGCCCAATTTCAGTATACAGTTTCTGGCTTTTTGGCAATTTTGCTTTTAGAAACGATTATACGCTATGGTTAATTTGAACGCATCTAAGTTAATATTGCATGAAAATCAAACATCAAAACTCACGTTAAACAATACTCGGTTAAAAACGTTTATAACATAGCTTGTTTAGTTTTACTAGGAGTTAATTATATGAGCAGGTCGGCTTGTGTAAACAGCCACATCGATTGCAGTTCCTGTACTATCGGTATAGCTAATGTAACATTGTAACGTGCAGGTTGACAACACTTTTGACGTACATAGTAATATTTTTTTTGCAATGCCAATAGTATAAATATAATTAACTACCAAGTCCAAGAATTTAGAAGTCTTAAATACGTGTTAAAGCCGAATTTTTTTCTTCTGAAAAAGTGTAGTTTAGTGTAGACACGTTCCCAATATGTAATGAAAATTATTGTTATCAACCAGATATTCAATTTGTTGTAAATGTAATCTTCTTTTTCTCAGGAATATGTTTAAATACATTGGTCATAGTCAGTTTCTGGAGATCAAATCAACTTATTGGTGTTATGGTTAGCTGTAAAGCTAGATTGCATGGTATCCTAGGTAAAACCGGGGCGATAAAAAGGAGCATATTAAAAGAGCATACTA